TGTGTTCTTAATGTTCAGTATAATTATCTTCTCAACAAGATTCGGTAATAATCACAGACTTTTCCTTAGGTAATTTAAGGATTTCATAAATGGTGAAGGCATTTCAGCATCTTGGTCTATATACAGATGAAAGCCATGATCATAGAAAACTTAAAAAAATGTCTCTTCAGGGAAAATGAGGAGAGTTTTCTAGCTTTACTAAATAATTTAGCAGCTGCGTTCCCTCTTTTTTCCAGGGAAAGGAATAGGTACATTTTGGCAGAGATGCACAGTGTTAAATTGACTCAGTTGTGCTCTAACAGACTCCTGGGTGTCAGGATAAACAGCTGTGATCTCCTTTGGCTTCTCACCCAGGGTCATCCTCAGGACTCAGCACCTCCCTCAGCAGTAGTGACACGGCATGGATTACAGCTATGACAACCAGCCAGACTTCAAGAGCTGTAGCTTCTATCATGGGCATCATACATTAATGCAAATCCACTCACATAGGACAGGCCTTCTTGAAAGAAAGATCAACAGCCTCTCAGCAGAGACAGCAGCATTCCAAAATATTGGCAAAATATTGCCATTGATGAGTAATGTTTGCTGAACTCATTTGGTGTCTGCCTGAAAATTGCCCATGAACAGTTAATAAGATTCTCAAATGCACTCATTATCTGGAGGATTATTCTTGATGTGCAGTCAGCTCATAAAAGGTTTGCTGCAAATGCAGGCCTCATCAAGACAATTACTTAGGCAAGTTACACAGTACAGCTTTCTGTGCTCCAACTGGGTGGCTTCTCTGGCTTGCACAGTATGTGCTGTGAACAGTGCAATTAAATGCACAACTCTGTGTCACAGTATGGAAACACGATGCTAAACATTTGCTTTTTCCATCATCTATCCTCAGTGATTGGGCCTTTTATATGGTATGACTACCAGGTTAGAAAAAGGGACAGATTGAATTAAAACAATTTTTAAAACAAGGAAAACATTGCTACTGCCCTGCCAGAAAGCTTTCTTTTACTCCCAAGAAAGGAAAGCAGGCGACACCTTCCTTTGCCTATGTAATTGTCCCCAGGTGTGGAACAGTCTATTCCAACAGACAAAATCCAAAGCTGGTAAAAGCTTTCCACTCTCCCTGGGACACCCCATATGCTCCTGGTTAAAAGGTCTTCAAATTTCAAACCAAATTAAAGAAGATCACAGCACAACTGAAAAAAAATGAAGTCATCCTTATAGTGATGCTATACTGAATCCATCATCAGGACTAAAATACAACATCTAAATGAATTTGCTACACACTTAAATATTGAAGGCAACTTTTGAAATATTTAATATTGATGAGGTTAAAAATATTCTGAACAACTTCTGGGCAAGCTACTGAAGGAAATACAGTAATGTGAGCATTGAAGTGCTTTCAGTCATAATTCTGATCACAGTGATCTTAGTTCACATACTTCATTCCTCCTCTTTTCCAAATGAGTAATTAACACAAAATTTTTAATTCACTAAAATTTGAGTACATTAATTTCACACCCTGATTTCATTCTTATAATTCACATCCTTGATATACAAGTCCCACAAAGCTGTAAATTTGTTTCAGGTCACAACACATGACAACAAAAGGTTTGCTGTAACAGGCTTTGAGACTGTGAATAATTTTACAAAATTCTTAGAATTATTCCTGTGTTGCAGCTAAGCCCGAGTTATGGGCTTGTTTAGGATCTTGATAAATTAGCATCATTTTTAATAATAGAATTTGGCAACCTCTGAAATTCTTCACTGCTAAAACATCACCAAGTATTCGACTCCTTAGTTCATATTTCCCTGCCTAACCAAGCTGTGTATTTTCTTCCTCGTGCAAGCTATACATTATTGAAACTACTGGGCAGGACCATTGTTACCAAAATAATTTGTAGGAGCATTTGCCCTGTGGCCAAAAAAACCACACAATGTAGCTGTTTATCCAACCCCTCTGTGATACTACAAAGAGGAAGCAAGATCAGTCCTGGAGGCAGAAATAATCTCATCTAAATTACAGAGCTTCTCAGCTAATTTGATATTGAATTTACACTATTTGCCAATTTTGCTTATGTTCTTTTCTTTCAAATCTCTTCCCCCTGTATAACACAAAGCTCAAGTAAAGAAGGAATATGAACTTTAATTTTTATATCTTCACCTAACAAGAGATGGAATAGGAGGGAGCTCTCATTTTGCTTTTCCCCTCAGTCTTCCTAAACAAAAAAAAGTAAATTTAAAATTTCACTAATTAGGAAAATTACAGCCTGCTCACTCTTAACCACTTCATCTGCACTTTGCTCAAAAATTCTACAGGGCTGGTGTAAAAACACTGAATCCAAAGCACAACATCTCAAGTCTTATTTTTCTTTTTAAAAGGCAAAGTAAACAAAAAAATTTCCCACTAAATATTCAACAGAATAAGATAAATTTGTTTCAAGAGACAGCGATCCAAGGGCCAATATAAGAAGTATCCATCCCACACAGCTACCTATAGATTTCACAACTGAGAAAAAAAATTCCCTACAACAGTTCAGAATCTTTCTTCAAAATGGAGTAACTCTTTTGTTGCTTCTAATCCTTTCAGAGCACACAAGGTTGGATATCACAGCCATGACATTGCTGGACTGAAAAGCTATTTTATGTAATTTTGCAGTTTGGTTACAATTTTCCTTTCCCTCAGATATCTGCACAGTGCTCATGGTAACTAATGTACCTACCCTTACAAAAGAAAATATGTAGAACATCATACACTTTTAGATAATACAATATATAGTTTCCTAAAATAATACATCACATGCAGAATATTACACTTTGTGAGACCTTAATGCTGGAGTCCATGAAACACACTGACTTACGTTTCGCTCACTCTACAGCTCCAATCCGTAATTGCTTGCATAATTTCTTTCTTTATTAACACAGTTTTGTAGACTTTGCACACTTGTGTCTTCATTACATTACAGCTTTTTGCATTTGGTGATTTTCCTCCCTGGCTTTTCCAGTGGGAGCATTAGCAGAGCTTCACAGTGAAGCCAGAAACAAAATCAACCTAGCAGACCAGGGCTGGGTGTTGCCTTTCTCAGAACTGTATCACAGCGAGTTGTTAAAGCAGGATACAAGCCCTCTGCAGACATTACAGTAGCATCTGTGTATGTATTTATCACAACCACATTTATTTACAAGCATGTATACATGTCTGCCCTGCAAAGATCATTGTTTTCTGCCGCCCTGTGGAGCAATTAAAGGTCTCACTTAAATGTACTTCTCCCAGACATTTGCTGGTAGTGCTTGGTGGGAAAAGACTGCAAACCCTGAATTCTGTGACGAGTAATGAAGGAGATCACAGCCCACCTCTATTTAAATTGCGCCAGTTATAGGACAAAACCAATGGAAAGTGATGAAGCTCTGAAAAAGGCAAAAAAACCCCACATTACCCTATTTTGTGAAAGGGAAGAGCAGCATGTGAGTTTCAGTCATTAAGTAATTAAAAGTGCATGTAATGAAGACTGGCAGGACAGTGCTAGCTGTAAGAATTTATAAGGAGAATACAGTCTGTGTAGATTTAACAAATGTTCAGGTTGTTTCTCTGTTGTTCTTAAACCTCAGTGTGAAATATTGACACACAGGGTACCTAACAGAGGGCGGTCTGACTGCAATGTGTCAGTGGTGTGAAATCAGAGAGGATGTTTCTAAGACAAGGCTTCTATCCTTTATCTGAATATATATTTTGTTCTATCCAAAGTAAATGTTAAATATTTCAGACTCTTGAAAAAAACTCCTCTGTTGCATGCTTCTACTATCCTTTACCTCTAAAATAACACAATAGTAAAACTCAGGAAGGTGGAGCCTACAGGCACTGTCCAGCTACTGATGTGCCTTGGAGGAGTCAGCACTCAGCTGGCAGGCTGGAGGCAGCTTGTCTCATTTCCATAAAATGATGATAAACAGAACTGGTTCCCAGCAAAATTGCCAAGAGCAATGGAAGTTCAGGGCTGGCATATTCCCTTGATCCAGGAAAGTTCAAAACTACCTGATGCTGGAGGCAAGACTGGAACAGCCCAGGATAGGGCTGCCAGTGCCAAAACCCTGTCCAGGCAGACAACTCTCTGCACACTAGCCAGTGAAGTACCACCATTACCAGGCTGCCATCATGATTTATCTTACATGGTCCACACATGATGTTTGTTCATGGAAAGACTGGTCTGGGGGGAGAGGAGAAGGAAGCCAACAACAATAACTGAACTGTGTTAATTTATTTTTAGACTTCTATGGAGTCTACTCAAGCGCTGATCTTTACATGGGTAAGACAGCACACATCTCTACCTTTCCCAATCAGTTCCATTCTGTCTGATTTCCATCAAAGCATATTCTTGTTAGCAGGACACACATTAACATTTGGACCAAATTAGACTTTTAAGTATTTGTGTGCATAGCTGGCACAGATGCTATTGATCCTAGAACAAAGTACACTACTTTTCATTCTTTAAATAATTTTAAAATGTTCCCCAGAACCTTTTCATAGATTGGCCAGAAGAAATGCTAAGAAGCAAGAAAATGTTAGAAACCGTAAAATTATTTTCATATAACTTTAAAATTATATAAATGGTTAACATGCTATGCATGCTTATCTTCTTTTATATAAAACCATCTCTGAGAAATTACCAATCATAAAGGCATTACACTTCAGGTACACTGCTCTATTCCAGTACGCTATCTTGCATTTTGGTACCTCCTGACAAAAAAAGGAATATCTGAGAAATGCATTAAGATACTTAGCTTATTAATGGCCAGCCATATATAAGCTCATTTTTCATGCCCTAGGCTTTTATGGTCTCGCAATGGAAAATTTTTCTTCATATTTTTCAGAAATAACAGAAAATTACAAGAAATGGAAGCCGCCACTAGTAAAAGAAGAAAAGCTGAGTATCATCAGGGTTAATAGCTCCTATTTGAGATCCATGAATGATTACAGAGTTACTTTTCTATATCGAACTTTCAAGTTTCATTAATAATATGCTGCCTCTCCAGGACACAGGTGCACTCACGGTACAAAGGCTATTGGTTCATCACACGGAATAGAAGAGCTAGAGGAACAATGGCTTCAAAGGTCTCATGTTTATACATTTTGACAGTAGTTTGTTGGGCAAGTGCTCTTTGGTACTTAAGTATAACCCGTCCTACTTCTTCCTACACGGGCCACAGACAGGTCAGTAGCATATCTATAGCCAGAAAAAATGTTTCCTTTGGCAACATAAGAACTCGACCTATAAATCCACATTCCTTTGACTTCCTTATCAATGAACCCAACAAATGTGAGAAGAGTGCCCCGTTCTTGGTCATTCTTATCAGTACAACTCATAAAGAGTTTGATGCAAGGCAAGCCATTCGAGAAACATGGGGAGATGAGAACAACTTTAAAGGAATTAAAATCGCCACGCTATTTCTTCTTGGAAAAAATGCAGATCCTGTGTTAAATCAAATGGTAGAGCAAGAAAGCCAAATTTTTCATGACATTATTGTGGAAGATTTTATTGACTCTTACCATAACCTCACTCTGAAAACTTTGATGGGGATGAGGTGGGTAGCAACATTTTGTTCAAAAGCAAAGTATGTTATGAAGACAGACAGTGATATTTTTGTAAATATGGACAATCTTATTTATAAGCTGCTCAAACCTAACACCAAGCCAAGGAGAAGGTACTTCACAGGTTATGTTATAAATGGAGGACCAATACGAGATGTTCGCAGTAAGTGGTACATGCCCAGAGATTTGTATCCCGACAGCAATTACCCGCCCTTCTGTTCAGGCACCGGCTACATTTTTTCAGCTGATGTAGCAGAACTGATTTACAAAACCTCCCTTCATACCAGACTTCTTCATCTTGAAGATGTATACGTTGGACTCTGCCTTCGGAAGCTGGGCATTCACCCCTTCCAAAACAGTGGCTTCAATCACTGGAAAATGGCCTACAGCTTGTGCAGGTACCGCAGGGTGATCACAGTGCACCAGATAACACCAGAAGAAATGCACAGAATTTGGAATGACATGTCCAGCAAGAAACATCTTAGATGTTAAGATTTTTACAGATGTAAATACCTTTTTTTAAATTTTGGTTGAGTTTGGTTATTTTTTGACAAAGTGATCTGCTGATTTACAGGTTAAACTGTGGGATATTAACTGTGAGAGGATTTTTAATGACTGATTTTTCATTCTCGCTTTGACTACTGGTTTACAAACTTCAGGCTCTTTTTCATAAGGACATTATGCCAACTGAAAGAATCTAGAGTAAAATCTCAGATTTTGTATATTATCATCTAATGCACATATCCATTCTTGCATCTGTGTGTAAAAGGACAGTAACAAATTCTTATAAGCTGCTTAACAATTCACACCCCAGCCTCTGAAGTAAGACTCAGGCTCTAAGAAATGAAGAATTATAAACATACTTTTATTCTTCTTTTAACACCCTACAACCGTCTCTGTTTAGAGCCTTGTTAATAAATTAAGCAGCATACATTTGCACTGAACTTATATACTTACTTTGACGTGTGTATTTTATAGTACGTGTGCAATTCCCAAATAGCTTACTAATGGTGTAATAGCAGAATTTAGACAGGTAAGAACATCAGAGTTTCATTGGCCTTAGAAACAAACCCACACACTGAAATATATTTTCATCCACCAAATGGTATTTCTTTAAATTATTTCAAAATGACCTATTTCTTTACACTTCCTAAACCAGCCCATAAAATATGTAACACGATTTAAAAATTAAGTAGACTCTGTAGGTGAAATAAGACAGGGGAGATGTAAGAAAAACTATCTTAAAAATATATGAGAAAAGCATGAATATCTTTTAATTTCAAAGCAAGGCAATGTCTCTCATTAGTATCAATGGATTCTCCATTAAACATCTTGAATAGCAATATATAATTATATTGAAAGCTAAATTTGTCAATAAGCCGTATATTTCTTCAACATCAGTCAGTGCACTATTTACCTAAAAACAAGAAACACAAAAGCAGCTTTTTAAGGGAAAGCTTTACTTTTTGCTGCAGTACATACCGGAACGAGACTCTAACAGATTTTTTAATGGTGTAGAAAAGAGGAATTTGTCCAATAAAATAAGGCAATCAATTTTCTGTTGATTTGACAACAGAGTACATAACAGTTATGTATAAATTTCACAGAAAAATAGAGGGCTTTTAAAGAAAAACCTATTAAAACCACCCAAATTCTATCCTTTTTAAAAACTTTTTAAAGCTCTCCGTTTACTCATCACGGTCCATACACACTGAGGTCCCACTCAGGAGATCCCCTGGACATGCAACAGAAATCAAGTACACGAGATTTATTCTAGGTCCATAACATGCTTATATGTATTTTGAATATGAATGTTTATGAAATGTTATGAAAACTCTTTGATAAATTCAGGCCATCTCTATTCAGTACCACCTTATAACAAGGAGGTGAAGTATGACATTGCTCAGCAAGTAACTTTGAGTGAAGAACTCACAAGTTAGAAAAAACCCAAAACTCACCAAATAGATTATCACCTGTAGATTCCTCACAGCATTCTCAGCACACACAAAGTCTCATTCATTGCAGCTGGCATTATGTGTAACATATGAAAACTGTTAAGTCTGTATGTTATTCAGAATGTCTAATAAGCTGTCAGAAATTAACGGAAGAATTTAAAGGGAAACTTCGACCTGATTTTGCCATAGATGTACACAGCACTTTACAACAGTAACAGAGGAATGAAGATGGTTCTCTAAGAGGTTTGCAGTTCCACGGCAAGTTGTTAGTCTTGTTCCCAGATGCAGCACTATCATTTCAAAAAACTACTTGTAAATAAGGTAAAGTGTACCTGGCTTTTAAGTCACTAGCAGGAGCCATCCCAAGCAAATCTATGTCAGATCTAAAGATAAAGCTACACAACCAACAGCCTAGCAGTTACTGTTAACAGGAGCTTGTGTACCCTTCATAAATAAAAATAACCCAAACCCCAGTAATTTTTATAAAAATGCTAAATCTCTTGCAGCATAATTAAGAGTTATTCTTCCCTAGTAGATCTAATCCTTGTTAAAGCTGCTATGTCCTATCAAATCCAGAACTTCCAAGGTACAACTAATTGCATAAGTGAATATATAACAGGCTGATTGGGTGAAGTTCCTTACACAAGTCCCATAATATTCTCGTTTATGAATGGAAATGAGAGTGGAATTCATCCCCAGCCCTTGGGTATATCAGATAGCACAGATGCCATCCTGCCCAGAACATATTGTGTAATAATTTGAACCTGCAGGCTACAATCACTTCTGCTATCCCTCTGCACTGTGCAGTAATTTTGGGGTTCTGAATCACAAACAAATGGATTTGGTTGCCTTATTTCTGCTGATGCTTCTGTGGCCTTTGGTTAGTAACCAGGAGGACAGCAGGGCTCCCAATCCAGATACCTCAGGGCTCAAGTAGCATGGTAGCCTTGAATTTCTCCTAGTACAAGTAGACTGCATTAATAATTGCAAGGTACACCTTGAAGATAGTATCTGAAAAAGTGTATTTCCTGCCATTTATAAATAGATAGACCTTCAACAGAAATGTAAATGTTCATCTTGAAACTGATGTACATACTTCTAAGGCATTTTCTTCTGTATTCAGCTGTATATATTTGTCAGTCTGCTTGCTATGTAGCATTCTGTTATGCATGGAGCTGAGTGAGGCATTATATTTGTCCAGTGTTTCAAGAGCCTTAAGCATGTGTGCCCTAACTCTTGAATGTACAAGATACATTTTCTTTTGCTCTCAAGTGAATTTAAAACAACACAACAAAATCCTAATTTTCTACTTCTTTTAATTCTCTGGAATTAGATTTCATTAGCTTGTTACACTGAGATTAACTGTTTTCATTTTGCCCATAAATTTCACTACTGGAACCTGGATATAGAAAAGTAGCAATACATCTATTCATAGGGACAGTTTTCCCTTCCACTCAGTAGTATTTGTGCCATGTGGGATACTGTTAAGAAACAAATGTTTTCAACAGACTTCCTTTAATCAAAAAAATATTTACATTACTTAAAGGTCACTTTGTTTCATTGGGCATGGGACAAATGACAACTCGGTTAAACATGCCAACCTCTAGTCACTTCAAAAGCGTGACTGTAATCATATTTTGATTCCAAAATGCATAGAAAAAAGCACATTGAGCGAAGCAGCTGGGGGGGAAGTGCCTCTCTTTAGGAGGAATTTTTTCACAGAAGCATTTTTTCTTTTTTATTTTGCTAACACCGTGAGAATATTTAAACAGAAGCCTCAAGATTCATTTTCCATATTTCCTAATAATAATGTTAAGTATCAATTTTGATTCTTTGAGGTTTTTTGTCTTTATAATGTAGATGGCAATGGCAATTTGTAAATGAAGAGTGTAATTAACTAGAAAAGCTTGTCAACAGTAACCGAAATTTAGGTGTATCATTATATATGACTGGCTGTACTTATGTATTTATTTGTCTAAATTGTATATATTGTTTTATCTATAGTGTCTGTAGGAGTGCATTCTTTTAGATTAATGTATTATTTACAGTTTTGTGGGATTGCCAGCAAAGCTGCTAATCAAGATACTATTTTTTTGTATCAATGTCAAATAATAATAAAAAAAAAAAACAAGAGAAAAATGGAAGGTGTCCTGTAAGTTTTCTTCTTCACTTCTTTATAGAAATGTAAATTATATTACCTGAAAACACAGTGTCAGTGAATTATCTCATTTGTCATGAGGAAGAATATTTTGCTATAAAAGCAGAATTTGAAAAAAAGAAAACAAAACAAAATACTACTTTTATTCCTTATTTATGCAACAACATCAACCTGACACCCACACGGATTTCTGAACAGCAAAGTGACAGTAATGCAGCCATGGCAATATCTGGCAAAGGAGCAGATGGGTTCATCCTCTGCTCTGCTCTATTTTGCTGCTTTGGCATCCCCAGCCAGCAGGACCCAGGCTGGGCCGTTCTAAGGTGGCAAAGCTTTCTGACACCTCAGCGTGGCTCTTTTGCTACTCGCATGGTGTCCTATGTGGGCTTGCAGCCATCAAAACCTACACACAGGAGAAGTGTCCCAAACCCCACATCTCATAAAACCACAATGAAGCTGCTGTGTGACCACCTGGGTCACCCACACAGAGGGAAGGGGTCCTCTCCAGTCCCTCACAGACACACAGTGATCAGGACAGAGCTTTTTGCTTCCCTCCCACACCACAAAGCCCCAGAAAATAAATGAATAATCACTCTGAGAACACTCAGATTACCCAGTAAATCTCATGTAGCCTTTGTCTCCCAAGACAAATACCTTAAGATCATATTTTGTCTCTCAGGGAGGTCTGGGCAACTTTAGGGTCCTTTTTAAGCAAAAAAGAAAAAGAAAAAACACACAAAAGTAGGAAGAAGTCCCTTTTCTTGTAGGAAGATCAGAAAAATTTGCCTCTCCCCGTTCTCTCTTTTGCAGTTTCCTACATAGAACAAAGTATCTAATCTCTTTTCCGCTGACTTTAGAGCTAAATATCCAAAACACATTCATGAAATGGAGGGGAAAATACCCACCCCTGAGCAGAAAGGCAGCTTTTGCAAACCAAAGTGTATTTCCTTGGGTCACCTGTTCCAGAAGTAGCTGAAGCCCGCTACAGAGTTCTCAGGCATTCCAGGAGTGTCTGCAGCAACACAGCAACCTTACAAACCATAATGAGATGCTTTAAACCAACCAAGAGTTTCACATACAGTAAAACCCCTCCAATCGTTTTCATCTCTCTTGCTTCCACCAAAGCAGCCTGAGTCTAATTGCAACACTTACATGGTATTTAATTAATAGACAGCTTAGAGATATACAGATATTAGCCCTAGCAGAGTAGATTTCATGTAGCTTGATTATCTTAATTACAAGCATTCTATTTTCTCATTTACTTAATTGATTCTCATAGATTTTCCAGAGAAATTTGCAGTGCCCTAAGTGAAAACAGTATGTAGAAAACCTTCTTAAAAGTGCTGACACTGGCCTACTACAGCAGCAATGCACCAAAAAAAAAGAGATCTATATGATATGGAACATTGTACTCAACAGCATCTGCTTCCTTTTCTCTTGTTAAAAATACGAATTTATGACATGGAAGAGGAGTCATCTGAGGGGGGAAAAAAGAAAGAATGTACCTTATTTATTCAACCGCACCTGCAATTAAGTTGTGTCAAGTATCTCCTCTGGCGACCCGCCTAACACAGGGGAAAAAAAATCCATTTTTCTGCTAGGTCTGCATATTAGCTGAATCTGCATTATATCTCTGCCTCACCTGAAAGAGCCAAGAGCAAGAGGCATATATTTGTCATGCAAGATTTATCCTTGAGCACTTATACTGCAAAGACAGCGTTACATAACAAGCTGGACAGAATTAAGTGCAGTGGTTTTGTAATGCAGACAACTTTTATTTAGGTGAAGCAAATACCCCAAACCTGAGGAGTGCTGGCTAACACCTACCAGCATCTACCTATATCTATCTATCTATAGATATCTGCATCTATCAAGCATCTCTTTTTTCTTTAAGAGTTCCTTTCTCTGGCCTATTTTCTAACATGACATCTTTCTTCAAAGAGAAATGGGATCTCTCTAGGTACCTCTGGACAGCAAAAAAAGCAAGGGGCGGAGCAGAAAACACCCTACAGCATCATTACAAGCTTTTTCCTTGATTTACAAAAGTCACTTAGCCTTGCTCTGTTCTTCTGTACTGTTAATCTGATTCAATCTGGCATTTTTCCCTTTTATTTCTATCACTCTTTCCACTTTCCTTATGTGCTTTTGTGTAGCTCAGCATTCTCCCACCTAAAAGTATCCATTTAAACCAGCCACAAAAATAAGAACAGTGTTTTTATTAAGAGGGGGCCCTTACCTGACAGGTTTACAGTCCAACACTGTCTAATACCTGGCAAACTGATTTCAGCAAGTTTCAGGGGACAAGTAGCACTTGAAGTTGTTCCTTCAACAATCTTTTCTTTGATATTGCCTAGTTCAGGTATATGGGGAAAAAAAAAAGATCTCTCATCTTTCGTCTTGCCTCTGCCTGCAGAACTCACTGTCACAAGTCTAAGGTTGTTTTGGCTTTTTTCCTTATTCCTTTACTTTTCCTTACAACCTTGGAGAGTTCACCAGAATTCAAAACAGCATTTTTTTCATGTTTCACTTTAACTCCCAGTTAAAATAATAAATCAAGTATATTATTCCACAGTTTCAATATTTTAACCTTTTTATCTGCTTTGCTCTCTGTGTTGCCTCCAGTCTCCTCATATCTTCCTAATAGTCAGACATCTGGTATGGAATCTGTTACAAGAGTACTTGTGTGAAGGCTGAGCACAGCAGTACTTTTCTCTGTCTTTGAGGCATCAAAAACTGCATTATTGGATTTGTTTCACCAGACAGGACAGCTTATCTTACATCATCATTATCTTATTATCACATTCAAAGCAGAGAATGAACTTCTGCTAGCATGTGGAATAGACACCAAGTCTCCAAGGCCACAGTAGCTATGGACATGGTAGGTGTTGTAAGGAAACTCCGCAGTGCGCCCGTTCCCGAGGCTCTGGCAGCCGCACTCCCGAGGCCACACCTGCACAGCTGGGCCCGGGGAACACACAACAGCTGGAGCCGCTGCTTCCGAGGAGCGCTGCCAACAAAGGCATCCCTGGGCGCTGATCCCCTGACAGCCCCCTCGGCTCCTGCCGTGTCCCTGTGTCCATCCCCGCGGCCCCCGCGCCCTCCTGCCCTGGCAGCTCCCGGCCTCTCCTCTCCACCACAGCTCCATCTGCAGCTCCAGCCCCGGCACCTGCTCCAGGGCACTCCTCTACAGCTGTCTGCATGTGTGCAGGTAATGAGCTCTATATGGAACACCATCTCCCCTCTCAAAGGCCATAAAAAGGTCCGGATCATTCGGGACAAACTTCACAAGGTGCACTCGGGCTTTGAGTTACGTTTAGCGTCACTTTGGCAGGATGGGTTGTGAAATGAAGAACTGCTGCCCTGGAGAGTGGGATCCTGTAAGGATGAGGCTGACTGTACTTCCCAAGTACCCTTTTATTCTAAGCATAGCTGAATTAGTAACACAGCTGATGCCAAGGTTGATGATAGGCTGCTTTAATTGGTCATTAAAAGGCTGTATTATTTACTGCCTTGTTTCTTGGATTCAGCATTTCTACACATGGGGATAAAACTAATGGGCTAGAATAAAGAATATATACAGCATGTAATTAAAATTACATTTTTTAACAGGGGAATATACATGCACACAGCGCAGGTGCTGTCACAGAAGTAGAGGTTATGGAAGTATACTTTTTAAATTGTATTATACTGCAATTTAGCTGTCATTTCAAACAGATGGGTGAGTTGTGCAACATTTTTAAACTGATTTAATTACTTGCAAAGGTATTGGCTTGTGTTAATTGGTGCAATAAATTACATAATGGTTCACAGATTCCATTAAAAAGGACTTTGAACACGTAGTATATATAGGAAAATAAACTGAGCCTTGCAAGTCAGTATTTGACAAAATAGTTATTGGCTGTTTATTTTATCAATTCATAAACAAGATCAAAAAAGCCCACCATTTACAAAGATAATGCACCTAACATGATAGATATTGATGTGAAATTGTATCTCAGAGACAGGTGAATGTTGCAGACAATACGTGCAGCCATATGCCTAGAAGAATAATCAGACTATGTAAATGTAAATGGGTTACCCTTACTTTCCCAAAAAAACCCTCACTGGTTGTGTGCAATTTATCTAGTGTGGGATGATTACTGTTGTCCTTCTTTAGGACAAAGCCATTTACTGAAACATGAGACATGGGAAAGAAGGTCCACAAGCACATGTAATAGCTTTTGAATATCTAGGCCTCTACTCCAGTCAATCTAAGGTTTAAGCTCCAGATATTGCTTCTTGTCTTGAACTCCAGGAATACCCAAAATCCCCTAAAGTCAACAAGTATAAAAATGTCTAACCTGTTAAGTACCAGAGCAAAGTACACCTGCATTAGACAGCCAAACAAAATCTGTATATAATGGGCTATAATGGTCATCACACTCTGTAGCAGCAGTATTAGGAAAGACTTCTAGCATAAGCAGGCAAAAACCCTGCAGGATGGTTACACTTTGGGACAAAGTTCACACTGGGGAAGAGCACACTTTAACGTGGAGAAAAGATCATGGTGGCCCGAAATGTTACATCTTAGGATCTCTATGAACTAAGGAGAATAAGGAGAGTGAACCTTTAGCAGACAAAGTTACCTCATTTGTGACAAATCATCTATTTCCAGAACAATTAAAATTAATTGCTTTTAATTATTTTTTCATGGTTTTGAAATTGAAGCGTGTGAAATGTCATTGAAAACAAGATTGCACTTTTATCTGCTACTAAACGCCAGAGATATACCACTTCAAAGGAGTACATTACATTTTATTTGAATGCTGGGACAGACATATCAGTAAGTAAACTAAATCATTTGAATTGTCAGTGTTAATACTACCACCTGGCCATCTTTCCCCTTTCAGCAATAATTTTATTATTTTATTTTCTATGCCTTTCATTTCAATAGCACCTAACA